TGTGTTGTTGTATTAGTTCTGATACTATGAGGGGATTTTGACATGTGGGAAATATTATTTCTCGGTAGATTGTTTTCGGCGTCCAACTCGTAACTAGAAAATGAAATGAACTGGAGTTTAACGTCATACCTTTCAGTTCTATCCGAAGTAACGAAGACGCTCATATACCATGCCCCGTCTTCATTAGCCCAGTTTAGGAGCAGAACAGTAGGACGTTAAACCCCATTTCATTTCATTTCATTTCATATACCATGCAGTTGGCTATGAGGGACATATTGCCTACTCTTATTTCGAATTGCGGGGGGTCGGATGGTCCTTGTATCATAAAGTCTGTCATTGAGTCAACTGGTGTGGTTTCGATTTCCCGGTTGTACGTGACATGGAGTAGGGTCGCCTGTTCAACCTCGTGGGTTTTCTCCGGGTCCTCCGGCTTCCTCCCACTGCTAAAGACGTCTACGCCCAAGCAAATTATTGAAATAAAATAGAACCATATGATAGTCCCGAAATGACCTGGTTTGTGTCGAGTGGACGTTAAACCCCATTTCTCTCTCGCTCGCTCTCTCTGTTTCGGATTGCAACTGCCAAGTGTTGTTTTACATGCACGCCAATGTGTACACGGGGTCTAGGTTTTCGTTCCATTCAAACGACTAGATGATGTTCCTTGTCAGGCCATATGTTTTGCTCAAGGCCCTGAGTCCTGCACGCCGGAAAACCCAGAGAAACTGTCTCAACCAGATACGGGATTGAGCCCTGGACATCATGGTTAATGAGACAGCGCCTTACTCACTAATTCACAACGACTCCCCTCTTTAGATGGGCCGTTCATATGTGTCCCTAAATCCACGATTGAATACTCTACAAGTTAATATCGGTGTCGTACACAAGATAAATTATGTTTATTCTCCATGGAACACATGGGCTTATCTCATACGGAACTTCCACTGTCTATCTACAACTAACCCCGCTTGAGAACAGACACGAAGGGGTGGGTGGGGGGGTCTAGAGTGCCACGCTTCGGCCTCTAGCTGGCCGGTCACCTCTGACTTGCGGTTGTGGTTTCGATCTCCGGTGTGGGCGTATGTGTCTTTGGAGATAGGGGCGCCTTCTCAACCTCGTGGGTTTCCTCCCACTTGTCTGCGATATCACTTTCGGTGGAAGCGGACTTTAAACAATAAGAACAACAACAACAGACACGAGGTTAGTTGACCAACATTGTAATTCCCATTTCGACGAATTTTGTCGAAAACACTTACTATACTGCGAGAATGTTTAGAAGTATTTTCAAATGGAAATTGAAAATGTTTATTTAGTCTGTGTGTGTGTGTGTGAAATCGATTAGAACCGAACAAGTTATCAGGACTAATCAAGATCTAGACGGCTTTATGTGTGCTAAATGGAGCTTATCTGTAAGAGGTGAAATTATGGTGAAATCAGGCAGTAATCAGCCTAATCCCCGAGTGGCACTTAACAACTTAGCACAATCAAAAAACACAACATAATGTATAGGGAAAACAATCACATACATATATATATATCACGACGTTTCGACAATTTGTCTTATCGTTATCAAGCACACTTGTCGAAACGTCGTGCTGTATGTGTACAGCCAGTGATTGATTTCAATTATAGCTATCAGCTTGCTTCATTTTAAAACAGTTTGGATTTTAGTTTCTTCTCATTATACAGTAATGACAAACTGCGATACAACTGTTATTTACCTGTTAGGTTCTCACAGTGTCTGAATCAGTACCTTAGGACAACATGCACGCAATCACCCTCGGCACCTTTTAAGGAATCTGCAGCACTTTTGTATAGGTGGTTGGGGGAGGGGGTCCAGGGGGGAAATCAATTTTGAATTTCGGTAAACCTTTGTCGCCCCCCCCCCCCGCCCCCCGCTTTGTGTTACGAGTGTGAAGGTTGCATAAATATGCTAAACATGCTAGTTTCCACCTCTTAAATGGAACAGAACAGTAGGACGTTAAACCCCATTTCAATTCATTTCATCTCTTAAATGATACAAAAAGCTCGTGGTTTTCAGTTGACACCAACTGTTTCTTTATTTTTTTACAAAGCAGTGGGGCAATTCTTTTTATAGTAGGGAAATTTTTACAGCAGTGGGGCATTTGCCTCGCCATTTAATGTTCTATAAAAGCCCCGCCTTTAATACGAGTATTGTGGTGAACAAGTATAATACCCAACGACGACATGGTTCTGTATTAATACGCGACGACATTGTCTTGAAGTAATAGGCGACGGTATAGTCCTGCACTAATAGGCGACGACATAGTCTTGCAGTAATAGGTGATGACATTGTCTTATAATAATCATGAAAATCGTGAACAACTACGACATTCAATACTGACTACAGACAATGAGTGTGATCAATAGATTATTATAATCCACTTATCCGCAATTATTGACGATAATCAGAGGTTTAATCATTATATCAATCTCATTAAAATACAGATCTACATTTCGTTTCGGTTTTTTTATACTTTCGATGGCCTCTACTACATGAAGATCTGACCAGTTGTAGAGCGAGATCGCGTCAGGGATCTACCGATCAGCTTTTGACCCTTTGACGTCAGACATTGATTAATCAATCAGCGTTGACGTTTCTAGTGATTTACTCATAGTTCCGTGCCCAGCACGTCAAGAACTCGCCGTAACACACCGTTACATTGGCTAATTCCTAACATCAACCAGACTGCGGGTTATATAACAACTCTTCGAGATCCTGGTGTATTTAAGACAAGTAAAACGAAATTTTGGACTATAAAAAAACTAAACGAAATAGGATCTGTGTTTTAATCAGATTGTTATTATATAGTGCCCTTGACTCATGAGGTTATTAAGAGAGGCAAGTCAAGGGTTAGCATAGGCCAACTGAGTTTTAAACTTTCTCAAACATAGAATAATTGTATATTAAAATCTACAAATTCTCCTACAAAGTAGGCAATTCTGTGCTTCTTGATAAAGTAGTCGTATATCGTCGTCAATGTCTACCTTCTGTTCGCCCTTGCTTCTACTCTACTGTGCCAAGTTCTGAACCGATTGTGTTCACGTTTTAGGAAGAATTAGTAATGAACGTTTTTGCAGTAGTAGTTCTAGAATTATTGCCCCTAACTGACTCGATTGTTAATAAATGTAATTTATTGTACGCGCACTCTCTCTCTACAAACGTCAGTACTTCACCGATCTTCTTCCATTTTCCAGGAATAATTAGTATTGAGATAAAGATGCTCCTTATCAATTTTGAAGTTCCAGAGTTATTGCGCGTGACTGATATGATTGTTGAAAGGGATAGATACTCATTCTACAAGGGCACCAATCCGGAAAAGACGACACGTGACTCGTATATATGTCCGCATAAATGCTGCCTCTATTCTTCCACTACCAAACGATAAAGACTAGATCAATCCATGACCAAAGGCCGCAAATGGGAAAATTGCAAAGTCAGATTCTGAAACTGCATGTCTGCGATATCACATTTTTGGGAGCAGACGTTAATTTAAAGAAGCAAGGTACTACTACTATTCTACAGGGTTCCATTCCTCCCTGATAAGTTTACATCAATTTTTCAGGAATAGTTAGCATTGTGGTAAAGATGATTACATTGTTCGGTCCAAAGTTATTACCCCAGAGTTGTGATTGTTCTTGAAAGGATTTTGTCTATTGCGGTCACTCTGTGGGGTACAGTTGAGTTCGTGACCAATTTTCACAAGAAAAAACAAAAACAAGATTAAAATTCATGAGACGAAGCAAATAAATTGAAATGAAATGGGGTTTAACTTCCCACTGTTTTGCTCCAACTGGGCTAATGAAAACGGGCATACGCCATATACACATTAAATAGTGGTATTATCAAAATGTTATTAAGATCAAATAGTCCCAATGTAAGTTATGACCATCTCAATTTCCAATTACTTTCTTTTGATTTCAGTTCATTCTCTGTCTTAGAACATCAGTCAGCAATGAAGTAATGAAATGAAATGGGTTTAACATCCTACTGTTCTGCTCCGAACTGGACTAATGAAGACGGGCATACGCCACACAGTTTGCTATGAGCGAAATTTTTTTCCGGACAGCGGCGTTACGCCCTACTCTTATATCGAATTCCAACTGTCATGGGATGAGACGAAGCATGTACCTTTATTTTTATTATTTCATAATATTTGGATTTTGCGCCCGGTTCCATCTATTTGATGGGCATCACAAACAGCATTTCAAAAGGAACTATGTTGTTTACCAACTATATAGTCAAACACATGAGGCCTCCCGCAATCCCCAGACCCTAACAGAGGACAGTAAAAGTGTGTTTGAAACACAATTAAACATACATTATGCAAGAGCTAAATCTACCTATTGCAGATCTTTCTTTAGGCCTGAAATGTTATCTAAATTATTAATAAAATCATCCAGACCATAATGAAATCTCGATGGCATCGCTAGCCTGCGATATTTACTGGACCAGAACCCGGTCTGCTGCTTCTGATTAAATCGAAAAATGGATAATCGAGACTATGTTTTTTTTTATCGTACCGACTTTAGTAATGATGATCGAGGCTAGGCACAAAATTCAATCGCTAAATACTTGGTTCAGGGTGGATCATTTTGACTGAAATTTTCAGAAAAAGTCCCTTTACATTGACTATTTTTTACCTATTATAGTAAGAACTACCAGCTTTTTATCTAATCTCCCATAATGTATCTTTAAGCAAAAACGAGGAGGTGGATGGATGTTTAAGACTACACTGTGTGTAAGAAAGGCTTAGTGTCATAAATATTGTACACCTTGACCAGAGGCCTCCTGGATCATGAGACCCTTATTAAAGGCCTTAATCCTACCAGGCCTATAGGTAAATCCGGCACTGCATGGTCAAACAGCTGGGACAAGGGAGAAACTGTAATACAACCTGTCTATAATATATATAGGGTTACCTATATAACTACCTGTAGTCTCAAACAACTCGCTCATTGGTGGATTAAATACTATGCTATAGTTGTACATTTACTATAGAGAGTGTACCACACTCTAAGTCGATTTCACCATTTTTACTGTCCACAGCAACACACGACCGTACACTTTCACGGTTTGTCAAAAAAGGTGAAGCAAACTTTATACGGATGTCGGAACTCATTATTGATGTGTTGTTTTATCATATAAGCACTGTTGAATCAACAGGGATTGTTTAGCTGCATTCATAGAAAAAGTTGTTTTTTTTCTAAAAAAGAGGAAATAGAAAGTACGCGTCATTCATGCGTGTTTAATGAATTTAATAGCTACGCATTTGTTTCCAGATTAATCAATTAATTATAGAAGGTTGATGACGTCATTGTGTGTGATCGGATAACAACTATATTAAATAATTCAGCGTAGTGAATTCTATTGACAATCTTTCTCAATTTTTTTTGCGATTTAACACTGGATATTTTGTGTGGGAGTTTTTGTACCGATAAAAAAAAAGTTATGAAAGACGGAGTTAGTGCACTTGTTTGCATAATTTTGCAGACTAAACCATTTTTTGTTTAATATCGTGACCACGCTATACAGCCGAAAAGTTTATATATGTTTTATAATTGGTTTTGAATTTTATTTAGAAAAGAAAACCCACGAAGACCCACGTTTGTTGGATGGTGCATGGATATGTTTAAACGGGGTCGTCCTATTGTCTAAGATTTATACATGTAAACTGGTATGTAAGGAGTGATTTTAGTGTTCTTTCGTTATGGATACTTAATTGTTTAGGAATTCAAATTGTTTTTTGCAACTTAACTGTATCCCCAGTGCGAGTACGGAAAGGCAACAACCGACAAGTCAATGACAATATTCACCTTTTTATGTCAATGATGTGAAATCACGTGAATGAAGGAGTGGTCATAACAATAATGTCAACAAAACAATATTTGATATAATTTCATGGAATTCATACAGACAATAATTGCATCATAGATATATCTATTCCAGAACTGCTAGTTAATCTCGATCTTTTTATAAACGAATTTCAGTCGCACAAACATCGACTTTAAAGTGATAGCGGATTTTCGGAAATTTGAAAAAATGGCGACTGTTAACAGATTCGGTTGGCCGGATTATGTAGTGTTGGCATCAGTGCCTGTAATCTCTCTAATGATTGGCTTATACCAGGGACTTCGCCGAAGAAAGCAGACGACAGAAGACTATTTGATGGGAGGAAGGGACATGTCGTTTTTACCGGTGGCCTTTTCAGTTCTGGCAAGCTTCCTCTCCGCCATTTCTGTTCTTGGAGCACCTGTTGAGATTTATGTTTTTGGTGCCTCGTTTTGGGTGAATGCTCTATCATATTTTATATCGGTACCTATTACAGCTCACGTCTTTATTCCTTTGTTTTTTAAATTAAAAATTACCAGTGCTTATGAGGTGAGTAGAATTTATTTTAGTTATAATACCTACTAGCAAAAATAGCTTATTAATATGACACGGCCGCAGGATTTTCAAGGGACTCGCGCTAAATGCTAGCAAGCTATTCAGAGCCACGATGGCTCAGTGAGTAAGATGTTGGTTCGCTAACCTGGAGGTCCCGTGTTCAATCCCTGTGTGGGCCGATAACGTTCATCTGGATTTTACACCGTGGTTCGCCCTTGTTAGTGGCGCAGAACAGAGGAGCTGACAGGGCACAGCGTATAATCTTTCGGATGGGACGAAAAACCGACGTCCCGTGTAGACTTCGACGTGCAAGTAAAAGAACCCTTGGCAGTTGTAATTCGATAAAAAAAAAGAAAAAGAAGGCCGTAGTGCCGCTGTCCGGGCAAAATGTCCCTCATTATAGCAAACTGTATGGGGTATGCCCGTCTTCAATAGCCCAGTCGGAGCCAAACAGTAGAACGTTAAACCCAGTTTAATTTCATTAACAAAGTTGTTACGACGAGTTGGAGCCAAGTTTAGAACGAATTCCAAAATGGCTGCCAATCTCCCCTACACCAGCTTTGAAAAAGGAGCAGTATTTTCCACTTTTTCAGAACTGAAGGCAGCAATTAAGAGATGGGAAGGGTTAGGGTTAGGGTTAGGACTGACTATTTTTACGACTATTCAGTTTTTAACTTCGCCGATGGAGGGCTGTGAAAGCATCGTCGTAACAATAGCCTGAGGACTATTTTTACGACTCGTCGTAACAAAAGCCACTGCCTTTCATTAAAGATACATTATGGGAGATTCGATAACGAGTTGGCGGTTCTCACTATAACAGTTAAAAACTAGATAGATAATGTAAAGGCAATTTGCTGAAAATTTCATTCAAATTGATCCACTATAAACCGAGAACTAAGCAGTTGAAATTTCCGGCTAGCCTTGATCATCATTACTAAAGTTAGTACGATAAACAGCATAGTCTTGATTATCCATTTAATCGTTAAATCGTGAAGGAAAGTTATGCAGTAAATCGGTTCATAATCCACTAAAGATCGCAGGCTAGCGATGCCATCTAGAGTTGATTATGGTCTGGATAGGTTAATTAATGTCTAATTAATAATTTAGATAACACATCAGGCCTAAAGAAAGACCTGCAATAGACATATTTAGCTCTTGCATAATGTATGTTTAAGTTGTGGGGGTTATTACTTTTGACAGCAATTAACAGAGTATGGTATCTATGTGATAAAATCTGGAAGAAATTGAATTAATTTACTATATGCAAGCAAAAAAAAAAATTATGTGTTTTAATTTATGTACGTCTTTATTGTTATCTATAAGGCCGTGGGCGATAAAGTGTCGAATTATATGAACATACGTCTAACCAGGGTCGTAATAAAATAATCTTTGGATAAATATGAATTATTCACCTGAATTTTTCACCTGAATTTTTCACCTGCCGCACAACCCAGACCTACTCATATTGCCCCTATTGCGAAATATATGCGACCCCTTTTAATATAACAAATCCATCATATATTTAAAGGATTCATGATTTGTTCAGTGGTATGACACGATCTTAAATAACATCTTTGATTGACAGGATACCCATGGAAATAAAATAAAAAAAGGAAGAGAGAACTACGATCTGCACAATACAAATATTTAATCAAATCTTCATATTAAACACTCTTATGGTAATATTCACTTAACAACGTCAACGGTTTCAATGATCCGCGGTGATTTATTTTTCCGTCTAACCTACATTTTTTTTGTATGCTCGATAACTGATTTTTATTCCAATATTAGATACTATGTATTTTATTATATTATATTCGAGTCAGGTGCCGGGACCCGTCATCAATCAATGTTCGTTTAAATAGGTTAACGATATCTTAAAATATTATCTACCCTTTAAAAGGCCACCTAGTGTCAGGGTGACATAATGTATGAAAATTATATTACGTCTCTTTATCGGGAGTACGTGACAAGGAGTAGGGTTGCCTGCCCAACCTGGTGGGTTTCCTCCCACTGCTAAAGACCCCTACGCACAAGCGAATTATTGAAATAAAATTGAACCATATGTTACTCCCGAAATGACCTAGTTTGGGCTGGTGCAGAAACGCCCAATTTATTTCACGTCTCTATCGCCACATTTAGCTACAAATAATGTCGTCAGGCGCGGATCTGCTACTGAATGTCGTAGACCGACAGGGTATACTTACTATATATTTGCAGAACACCCGGTATAACGTCTAATTTTTGTTGAATTCACAATTAAAAACGTTTTTTTATGAATATTTTTATCCCTCAGTGTAGCATTCTGCACTCAGAGGTCCACCTACTTCATACTTCGAGAATAGACCTCTGTCGTGAATGGCCGCCATATCCAAAAATTAGTATATTGTTTTGTAATACGGTTCTACTCCGTTTCACATCTGGCATACACACAAAGACTAAATAAACCTATCCAATTCCATTAAATGGAAGCAGAATAAATACTTCTCAAAATTTTCGAAGTTATCTTAGTGTTTCCTACTAAAATCGTCGGTCATCTAGCTTAGTGTCTGTTCTAAAGCGGAGCTAACTGTAGACAGACAGCATAAGTTTAGTATGTCAGTATAGCTATAGGTAGTGAGGAGTTGCTTATACGGGGCAGTGAGTGTTTACTTTATCGAAAACACTAGATGCCACTTGTCACTCTGGGACTACACATAGCTTAACAATGTTCGTGTTACGTTTTGTATTCATGTTTCTATTTCCCAGTAAGTAATGACGAGTGTCGTGTATGAGGCGTCTTCTGGTTTATTTGAGTAGGTCTAAGTAACAAATTGTCCTTAATTTGCTATCCATATTTCTGCAATAGTGATTTCGCATAATGTTGATACATGCGTCAATGAATTCCCTGTCGTCGCTACATTGTTATATGTAACAAAACCCGAGATTATACATTCTTTCCTTTTTTTATCCTGTTGTGGTATCTGTTATTACGCCATCCTCATTCATAAATACAACAAAGACGGCCAGCTTTAGTAAATAATAATCTTTTGATTGACTTGTTATGGGATGTTCTCTTGGGGTGGGCCCACTGTGAAGTATTAAAAATTTCCGTGTGGTATTTATGTATACTGTTTATTCTATGCGTTGTTGGTCTGTTAAAGATGCATTAAAGATACATTATCTAGTCATTTTTGCTATAATAGTTAATGTTCAAATTACTCTATTGCGAGCGAAGATATTAGCCTTTGAAGGTTTGACAAGACGTATGCAATAATTACAACAACCGTACTGGTTGTTCGAAGCTAAGTCTCGCTACTCCATTTTAAATTAAATCAAAATATGGCTGAACAGTTCTAATCTATTTAAATCTGAGAAATCCTTTGCCATCGAAAGTTGATTATGATCTGGATAAGTTAATAAATGTCTAATTAATAATTTAGATAACATTTCAGACCTAAAAATACCTGCAATAGACAGCGTTAGTTCTTGCATAATGTATGATTAAGTAAGATTTATTTAAATAAAGAACTGACCGTTCTTGCTATAATAGTTCCAAAACAGATAATGCAAAATTAACAGTTTGAAAATTTCATTCAAATTGCTTTATTCTGAATGAAGTTATCACTGTTTGAAGTCTTGACAAGATGTGGCGTAGATTGTTTATTATCGTAGCAACGATACTTGTTAATCGAGACTCAACCTCGATCCACCGTTTTTAAATTAAATCATGTTTCAATTCGTCTAAATCTCCACTATCCGACGGTCTAGAGAGTTGATTATTGGCTCGTATTGTGAATAAATGTCAAAAGAATAACTTATGTAATATTTGAAGCTAAAATAAAGACCCGCAATAGGCTGATTTAGCTTTTGAATTATGCATCTGTAAGATGGTCTGTGCTGTATTCGTGTACTGTTTATTCTAGGGTTTGTTGGTCTGTAAAGCTGTTTAGTCTATAAGTGATATCGGTGAATGTCCTGAGTTATTTGCCATAATGAGCATACCCTATAGTTAATTGAAAGTCGGTCTTAAAAAATGGGTGAAATAAACAAGGCTTTTAATGACGTATGTGTTAAGAATTAGATTGTGATCGTTTATTATGTTTCTAATTTTTACACTACATCGTAATAAAACCGTGTTTCACAATCGTCATGTAGGGGATGGGGTGGCCTAGTGGTCTTCGAGCTCCCCGGTCACCCCTGGCTTGTGGTTGTAAGAGCCCAGATCGTGGGTTGAATTTATTAAAAGTAAAAGTTTGTCTGCGATACCACTTACAGTGGAAGCGGACGTTAAATCTCAAATTAACAAACACTAACAGATGGTTCAATTAAATAACCATTTTTGGCCGATGTAAGCAATACTTTAGTTAGACCGCATGATAAGCCCGTTAAAATTGCATGGCACTATTTGGTACTGGTATTTCTTTCGTTTATTAAAAGTAATCTGGCGGTCTAGCCGCATGAACAAACATCCTTGCGCATGTTATACCATTTTATTTGCCCGTGTTGTATTTCTTCAGTTTATTAAATGGGATCTAGCGGTTGAGCCACATGACCTAACCCCATCCTACCCCACCCCCGGATTTAAAGTCGAGACAACGCTTATAATAAAGCAATTATAGCAATATTCACATTTTTAAAAAAAAATCTTTTCACGGGGCCGTGAAATGTTTCATTGCATGTTCTGTCAATGATCCCACGATCTTCCCATCCTCTAGCCATATCAAACAACGATTTGTACGTATATTTAACCAGCTTTTATTTATTTAAAACATAATTTGAATTCAGTGTCTGTCTCCTTCAGCTTTAATGACTCTCCTTAAGGGTCCAAAACTCGGTCAATTCACTATTTCTTTTCTTATTCATTCAATTCATTCAATACATTGTAGACGTCCATGTACTCTCGTATTTATTGAAAGTTAAATATACTCTTTGCCATGTTTTCATATAAAAGAAATTTAATTCGAAAAGTAAATAAAATCATGTGTCTTCAGTATTCAGTGCTTATGGTAACC